CAGCTGCACGTGGCACTGAGCTCAGGGCTGGCTCTGGGCGAGTAATGACATGGCCAAACCTCTTCTATTCCCAGCCCACTTTGCCATCTTTTGTCCCTACAAATCCCCATATATTTAAAACACTGGTTTTCTCCAGGGCTAATGTAGGGTTATTTCATCTTCTGTTCCTAGCAGCTGGTTTAGCCCCACATAGAGACTGGTAAATAATTAACAGTTACGTTTTCCTAGTTTTATACTAGGCCTGAACCTTTAGGATAATCATTCAGTGACCAGAAACTACTTCATAGATGGATGAGTCTCTTGGAACCATGGTAATGCTTATGCCACTCTGTAGTTTACATTACAGTTCACTTCTTTACTGTGGGATTGACAAATCCTATGCAAATAAAATGAGAGACATCAATTCACTTTAATGGGAGTTCAATCGTGCCCTTTATATGAAAATAACCATCATGTATATTGCAAATTTATCCATATGAATGTACCGTTATTTATAGAAGATACAAAGGGATGTACTCCCTTTGATTCAGATAGCATGAAAGATTTTTTCACTGGCGATTAAAGATGAAACATTAATGCTTCTCACACTGATGCAGTATAAAGTTACATAATAACTAATTTCTGATTGTTTCTGAAGTAACATTAGTGGTGTTATTCATAACCAATCAAAACGTGAAACTAAGTTCTGGGAAGGAAGATTTCTTTACAATGCCTGATGCATTTATAACCTGTTTCTGGGTATCATCATATTTTTAGACCGTAACTATTAGAATTGTTTCCATACAAAAACTATGACTAATTATACAGTGACCATATAATGATTTAAGCCAGTCTTACTTAAAAAAAAACAACCTTTAAATCACTCAATTCCTACCTACAAGAAGAGAATGACAGAACATACTTAAGTATTTTAGATATTATTGGGATTGTGTATGGTGCTCTGACACTCCAGTGGTGCATCAAATATGAGAAATGGAAAAGACCAGAGAGACTGTCCATCTGTCATTCCTCCTGCAGGGAGAGACTCCCTCTTGCTTTTAGAAGGGTAATGTTTAGTTGTGAAATAACAGAGCAACCATCTTCTATTTCTGCTCATTGCAACTGGTAACTTTGTGGAACTAGAAGGTAGGCTTCTTCTTAGAACATAAGTGATTATTTGAAAATCCATGGAAGGCTAATTAGCTTTTCTAAAATAAAAACATAACATAGTTACTGTCTGAAACTGAGGGCGGTGTGAAGTGCTGAGGCTGAAAATCCTGAAGAGCAGTCTTTTTATACAGACAAAATGGACTATGAAGTGGCAGTTCCACCCACAATTCCTCATCTGTAAGTTCCAGTTCCAACGTGAACAGAAACACCCTGGTGCTGAGCTGTACCAGTGGTGGTTGGCTGTCGGTCCCTTGGATAAGATTTAATATCATGACTGACTGAGACTATCAGTAATGATGCTGATTAAGTGTTATAAGTGACAGTATAAGTGCCCATTTGATAGCAACTGGAAGAAAATGTCTTCATTATTTTCTGTGGAACGCCAATGATATTTTAACCTCTTTCGATAACTACCAGCCTCTGCAGGTTGGATTCTGCAGTAGATAGGTGCCAGTTTACCTTGGAACAAGAGGTTGTACCTCCCCTGGTGAGCACCGCCCTGGACAGTGCATGCTCCCAGTCTTGCGACACAGTAGCCCATGGCTCTGTGGTCCCCAGATGAGCATGGATGAATCAGTTCCTACACCATGCACATGACAGTAACGGTGGTGCCGTTTATAAGATGGTGTCTTCATCCAGTTCGGTCTCCCAGATTCTATGTTGTGTAAAGAACTGTAGATCTTGTCATCAGCACAGCTACCACAAATGCAAAACAAAGCATACATTGGGGTATGAATTATCTCAAACTTTGTAAAAAGGCATCCTCGGGAAGCCAAAGGACAGGTTCTGGTATCCTCATTGATGGATCATGTTTACATGGAACCCACTGTGGCAGTGCCTTAAACACCATCAGCCACACGAGAGCCTCCCCATTTCACCATCCTCTCGGAGGAAATAAATGCCTTGTCTGAGGTCAAAGGGGAAGTCTGTGGCAAGACAAGGAACTGAACCATCTTCCAAGTATCAAGTATTGGACAGCTTTTCCTCTGGCTATGCATCCCTTCTTCCATGGACTGTCCTGTTCACTTAAGTGGATCTTTTCAACGAACAATATATGCCAAGTGAAAACACAGCAGAGATAAAATCAAAGGCTGGGTTAAGAGTATATACTACTGATTGCAGAACTATGATCCTTCATAATGATCACTGTCAGATAACTTCTAAAAAAACCCCTCTTTTTGCATCTTTCCTAAGCTATTTTTTCTCCTTACAATGTACAGAGACATTGTAAGTACCTCCAATTTTTTGCTTTTTAGCTGTAAACGAAAGCCAGAAACCATCCATGATGTGCACATCCTGATAGCTGGAATAAATAGGAGAAGGAATTGTACCTGGAAATAGACTTTTTATTTTTACAACAAAGTAGATCAGACCAGCCCTGGAAAAGAGAACACTAGTATTTGTTTTTCACATGTTGGAAACCTCAATAGGAAAAAAGGACACTGGGTAACATTAACAAAAGCATTATTCCACCTGTGCTGCCAACAGATAGCAAATGGTGTGCTACCTTTTTGTCACTGCTGTTCTCACATTTCCCTATTTTAGAATGGTGCTGGACCTTCAGACCCAGCTGTTTCTTGAAATAATCCTAATGAAAAAGGATTTTAAAAGGATTTTAAAAAGAAGAAATACAGATATCTGTGGCACCAAATAATGAGGACCAAACTCCACTGTTAAACAGAAGCCACTGCTGCACTTGTGTGCTATGGTAAGTAAACAGAACAGACGTATTCACCCCAGTGTTAACCTACCACGTGCAAATACACGTGGCTGCAGGATGCTACCTGGTGCCTCTCAATGCAAAACCCCACACAGCTACCACAGCCTCGGTCAGAGGACATTCAGTCACAGGAAGACATCAAACTATGAGATCAAATAACTTAGGAATGCTATAAAAAAAACCCTAGAGCAGGTCAATAACAGCAGAAATGCATAAACGTTGCTTGCCAGAAGTTGTCAAATACTGGAAATAATAATGATTTGTGGAAGAAAGAAAAGGTATGCAGCAAGACAGCAAAGAGCACCTTTTTGAACAAAATTATTCAGATTGTCAAGATGAGAGAAGCTATTGGCTAAGTTCAGACAAATCCGACCAAGCTAGATGAATGGGGGAAAAGATACATATGGAACTTAGGTTAGCAAAGTCACTAAAATTACTCACGTAACCTTCTTGATTTTTTACATAGTGGTAAAAATTTAAATATATATATATTGTGGAAGCCAGTTAAGAGCTACACAGCATACAGCACCACAGCAAAGGCAGCCAGTCTATTAGACAGCAAATGGGTAAGAATAATGCAGAAAAGATCGTAATATCGTCAGTATAAGTCAGTGAGACACCTCCATACAACCCTGAGTTTGAGTTCATTTTTCTAATAATTGTATCCCTTGCAAGGAATTAAGAGGATGCGATGCCTGCAGTATTAGGCCAGATGGTCCCAGGTGTTTTTTTTTCCCATCACATGTTCCTATCTCCAGAAGTGGAGGACAGAACAGAGGAAGTTCAAGGACAATTTCTGAGAATAACCAGTTAAAGAAAATCTTTCAAACAATAAGAAATTGGAAGACTGCACCTATTTACTACAACTTAGTAACTTACTGAAGACTTCCTCTGCTACACATTTTCAAAAGCATAGATCTACACAATGTATTATTCATGGTAAAAAAAAAAAAAAAAATCACTTCTTCCAATTATTTTTAACTTGATGATTGATATTTTCTGAATTTGTTTCATCAGTAATGATGTTACATTTTTTTTCATGCATTCATGTTACTCCTAAGCTCAGGGTGATCACATGAATCTAGCCAGTTTTCATTTATTTTTTGGTGTTACAGTCCTCAGATTCCTCTATATGTTTCTCCTCAATCAACTGTGGATTTTTACTCTGGCAAAATAAATTCCGCCAAAGCTTCCATCAAAGCAAAACCCCTTGAATTAGCAGAGGGCCACCCGATAATTCTGTAATCAGAAGATGACAAAATAGAGCACGTGTGGTATCTAACGCCAATGTGCAGGTTTTGAGGGCGTGTTTTGCTCATCAAGAGCCTGGAAAATGTTACTAAATCCGCATCCTGTTCCTAAACCTGTCACTGGTACATTTATTCTGACCCGCTCCACGGCAGCGGAGCGTAACACCCGCCCCCCCCGAGCCCTGCTGTATTTCTGACATACAAAAGGCAGGAGATCTCTAAGGAGAGACAGCTCACCTTCATTTACAAAACCACCTTCTTTTCACATTTTATTTCATCTAATTTTTGCCATTTAGTGCCTGACATAAAGGATGCGAGCGCATTGAAACAAATACCCACGCCTTCCCTTGTAAAACGCGCTATTAAAAACACAAAGGCAGAGAGGGGAAGGGCACTCCGCGCCCGCGGGAGCCTCGGGCGAGCCCCGCGGGAGCCTCGGGCGAGCCCCGCCGGTTCCGCACGCCGCGGGCGGTGGCTGCCGGCTCCGCCGCCCGGCCGCGGGGCGGGGGGGTCGGTGCCCGGCGCCGGGGATGCTCCGCCGCGCCCCCCGCCCCGCCCCGCCCTGCGCGGAGCCCCGCGGAGCCGCCGCCCGCCCGGGGCCCGCGGGCGATGCCCCGGCGGCCCGCCCGGTCCCGGCCCGCCGCCTTACCCCGCCGTGGGGCCGGCCCTCGCCGCCTGCGCAACCCCTCCGCGCCCGAGCCCAGCACCGCCCGCCGGCTGCGCGCCCCTCCGCGCCCCGAGCCCGGGCGGCGGCGGCAGGTGGGTGCCCGGCGCGGCGGCTGCGCACCGCGGCCCCTGTCCTGCCGGGCACGCTGGGACTCGTAGTCCGGCAGCCGCCCGCCGGCTCCGCGGGCACCGGCACCGGCCGCCCCAGCCAGCGCCCCCCACCCCCCAGCAGCAGCTCCAGCTCCAGCACCCCTCCCGCCCCCAAACCGCCTTGGTCCCCCTGTCCTCCCTCACCCCTTTCCATCTCTATCTGCCCCGAGCCTGCAGGTGAGCTCCCGCCCAACCCGCGCTTACTTCCCCCGGCCCCCGGCTCGGCACGACGCGGCCTCCTCCTTACCCCTCCCCCGTGCAGCCCCCCTCCGGTGCAGCCATCCCAACAGCCCGCGCCGTGGCTCGGATGCTCGGCTGGCTGCAGCCGGCGCCCCTGCCCTGGGCACGCCTCTAAGCAGCCGCGCAGGCACCGGCTGCGCGGGCGCGCACGGCCGCGGCTGCTGCGCCGGGCAGCTCCGGGCGCACGGGCCGGCGGTTGCCCCGCTACCCCCGCACCTCCCCAAACCGAGCCAGACGAGCCCTGCCAAGGAAGATCGGCCGCCCTCAGCCTGCACCAGGATCTGGCCCTCCGGGGAGCCAGCCCCGGAGTGGGGGGTGCTGGCTTCTGAGACCATTTTGATGGGTTTCCTCTCTTCTTCTAATGAGTTTTGACAATTCAATTTATATTTGTGCTTTTATTCTACACTAAACGTTGGTCGAAACTGTATATAACATGTAAAATTATTTGAATGTACCCCCCATAGTCAAGTATGTCCATAATTTAATTTATCAGATTGCCTTCACTGGGTAAGTACTGCATTTTAGCTGAACTGAGGCCCTTGGTTCTGAGCACTGAGTGATGAGTCACTGGCAGCAGAAAAGCTATTCCTGTGATTAAAATGTCTTTAAGTTTCACGATGCGTTGGCAGAAAAACAAGACATTGCCTTGTTAAGAAGCAGATGCTGCACCAGAGGTGGATTTTCCTATGGAAAAAAAAAAAAAAAAAAGTACAACTAGGAAATACAATGCCTTCGGCTTCATTCCATACCCTGTCAAACACCTCAGGCATCAGTAGCAAGACTTATAGCAGAAAACTCAGACTAATACCAAGGACTAAAGGGTTACCTTGGGCATTTTACCACTGCTGCTCAGGAAAACACCTGTACCCAAAATAATGTGCAGAGTGCACAAAGATGCTCCAAAGCTGCAATTAACTGCTCGGAGCAGATAATTCTTCTTCTTGCCTTGAACTTCTTAAGTGGGATATTCAGCCATAAGTTAACAAAGCTTTTGCCAAACATCCAAAATGCTATCAGATCAACAGAAATGCAAAAGAAACAGATCCATTTATTCCACAATCTTCCCTTCTCTCTTTCTGCCTTGAAGCATTCAGAGAAAACAGGGTTTGCATCCGTGGTTTTGCTTGCTCGTTACCAGAAGTATCAGGGAAGCTGAGCTGAATTGCTCTGAAATCTGCTGCTCGACAACTTGGTGGATCAGGCTGAAGTTGAATCTGTTGGTTTGGTGTTGGGGTTGAAGCTTCACTGCAAACAAGGCTGATTCAAACATGAGACAGCGAAACATAGATTTAATTCTTAACATGGATTAAACCCTCTTTTGGTGTTTAATCTTGGTCTGTGGGATGAAGGATTGAATCAGTTACTCAAATTATAATTTTACGAGTACTGGGAAAAGGAAATGTACAATACCAACAAAGAGCAAAAGTTGACTTTGGGATGTTTGGTTTTTGATAAACTTCTGCAAGTTTCTCGCTCAGATTTTCCTGCCATGGCTTAAAATATATTTGTTAAATTGAAACTCCTTCTCAGTTGATATGAATGGGAAGAACCCCTCTCATGCGGACTTTTCCATCTGCAGTTGCCTCGTATCTGCTGACAAACTCACTTCATATCAGTTTCTGTTAGAAATGTAACAATCTAAGACCTCTGCAGGGAGTGCAGAGTTTGGCTGGAGTCAGGGTTCTTCTCTTCTTTGTCTGTGGTTTCATATTTCTTTCTTCCTTTTACCTCATGCATAGAATTTGCAATCAAAAAATAGAAACATGATCAGTCTTTGTCAAAGAAAAGATACAGGTCACCTGTATTCATGAGACATACAGGTAAAAATATGCATGATAAATTATATTAAATGCAGATGTACAGAAGAGTATACCCACATGTATAGGAGTATCAGTCTCCTTAAATTGCACATTACAAAGTAAACCATATCAGACTTCAATCTTGTGTACAGAGTGTGCATTCTAAATAATTTTTCAGTCTTCCCAAACTGCAAAATTAAAAGACAAAAGTATACAGCACAATTCACTAATCTAAGACGGATCCCTTGCATGTGATATACCTGCTACAATACTTTTACACCAAATGACTGTGACTGCCTGGACTGACTGTATTTCCAAGGGATGGGACTTCGCAGACAACACCCTGAAAGCAGGTCTAAAAGTGCAAGGGAGGCTCCAAAACAGTCCGTTTTCTCTGGTAGGAATCTTGCATTACATTTTACCCGTGTAGGCTTTTTATGTATTTATGTGTTTAAGTTGACTTGTTGAAAGAAGTGCAGTGGTGGAGTCAACACCCTAAGGATACTATATACGTGGGGACAACAACTCTAGAAAAAATTTTGCTCCTCTAAGGGTCATTTTTAAGAGCGAGTGATCCTGTGGATCCCAAACCAAAGTATTTCCTGGCTCTGCCTTCCCTTATGACCAGTAAGGTGAGAGCTTGGTTGGGAGCTGCTGCATGGTAAATGAAGTATAGAGGTTTGGCGTTTTTCCAGCACTGCCTAAACTGAGTTTACTGCCAGCAGGCTGCACCAGTAAATCTTTAACTGGGGCACGCAAAAGCAAGTTTTATTTCACTGAACTATTTGTAGCCAAAATGTGGTCAGTTGTTTTAAATCGTTATATTTTTTAAATAAAAAAAGCAGAGAAGCTGTTGTGATCATTTCATCTGTTTTCCTTATAAAACAGCTTGTAAGACTTTGCTTAATTAATTCCTGCTTGAGCTGGAGCTTGTCTTTTAGACAAACATCTGGTCTTGATTACTGTGTTGTGCGTGTTTTGATCTCCTCCTTTAAAGACCAGCTGTTGACCAAATTCAGTGACCTGTATATAAAAGCCCTTGGTTCAATACCCAATCAGCAAATCTCAGACCTAGGGTAGAGATAAAATTTGACTCTCGTTCACATCTAAAATTACTGAGTTGTGGTGACACATGATAAAATTGTTTTGAAAAAGAACCAAGGTATGTAGTCAGCCCCAGTTCATAAGAGCCTGGTGGTTCAGGCCTTAAAATTCTGACCAGAACCATCTCAAGTGGTCAAACCCCAACTATATTTAGGCTGGAATTTTTTAATTGCATTGGTTTGACAGATAATAGGATTTTCTTGGACTGCTTAATAAGGCAGGGTACAGTAATACATTAAATAACAGTAATTTCAAGCCATCTGTTATTTCACCCAAACTTGATTCCTGTGAACCCTTCTATATCCATAGTACTCTAAATCCTGAAGAAATGCATTTAGATTTGGATACTGCACCTTTCATGATAGTAACGGTAATAATAAATACCTCATCTGTACCAATTAATTTGCAGCAGTAGATCTCAACTTGAATCATCATCTCCATTTTGCAGGTATGGCAAGCAAGACACAGAACAGATGGTTATTTTAAGTCTGGGACCCACTCGGTGTGCATGCCATCGGGGACAGGTACACGGGACTCCAGAAGGCTGAAAGGTGAAAGGAACTGCCCAAGGACATAAGAAGACCACCGCTGACCCTGGGAGCAGACCCTGTCAGCTCACCATCCTCTACGCCCCGCTTACAGAGCTACGCAGCACCACTCTGCTCCAGGCAGCATGTCCAAAAGCGTGCCTTGGGTTGGCTCACACTTCCCTGGAGCCACCCTTGAGTACAGGCAACACGAATTCTGCTCCATCCACTGAGGTACGGTTGCTCCTCCACCCACCCCAGCTCTGCTGTCTGTGTTGGTATGAGAAGAAGGAGGTTTTGGAGGCAGAGGCCAACTCTCCAGCTCCCTTAAACTGTCCCATTTAAAGTGGTTTGCTCCTCAGAAGTGAGCAGGAGCTGACAGATACTGTCCTCCTCTCTTTACAGGGTGTGCTAATGGCGAAGATTTTTCTGCTCCACCTCTTCCTCCATGAACAGAATTGAAGGACAGCCTGTTTGGTGTTGGATTTCCTTCTTTACCTAAATAGCCTGAGGCCCAAGGTCAGACATATGCCCTCTGCAGCTGACCAGTATGCACTGAGGATGTTTCTCTTAGCACATCTTTCTTTCATACAGCCAGTTCACAGTGAATCAGATCATTTTGGGTATGTTGAAACAGTCTTAATAGTGTGCTTGAGAAACAAAACCCAGGCGGCGTGGTCCCAAATGCTGGGCAGAGAGCGTGTTGGACAGCACGTGGGCTCCTGCAGATAGGGCTTAGAACGCTGCGAGTCTGATGGTCGGCGCTTGAGCTTGTCTCCAGGCACACCTCGGCAGGCTGGCCGCAGCAGCCATCTGCAAGAAGAAGGAAAAATTCCAAAATGTGTGTAGGTAGCTACCCCTGTGGCCTCCTACCAAAGGCTGTGTCCCTTTGCTTGTGGGAATGTGCTTGTCTTAACCCTTCAAGTCAGAGCATAAAATTCTCAAAGCATTAGGGTTGTGTCTCAATTGAACCAGGACTGAACCGTGTCCTCTTGGCTGCCACTGGAAGGAATTTGATTTCCTCACTCATAATTTGTTTAAATCTGATTTTGGCCACTCTCATAAAAAAAAAATATATAGGATAGAGGGTCCAGGCATCATATTTTATTATCATCTAGTTTACTGACAATATCCTTTCTGTCTATATCCTGTGTGAATTCTCCATCCAGGAAGATACTTATGACCAAGGCCATATACACTGAACACATGTTCTCCATTGTACCACATCAGTACTGTAGAAAGTAAATACAGTATGATTTAATCAGTTTAGGAGTATGTCTGAGGCTTTGGATGTTCCTTTCCTGTCGTGTGCAGCTCAGCTCAGCGAAGGGCAGTGAGGATGCTTCATGATGTATCACTCTAGCTTTGCATATGCATCATTTCAAGACTAGAGGAAGTTCCACTGCTGTCCAGGTCTCCTATGTCCTTTGAGGTTTTGTATTTGCAACACTTCCCTCACACATGTATGATTGGCTTAAATTATATCGCAGCTTTTGAAAAAGAAATCCCTCTACTAATCCTTTTAGGAACATTATGTTTGGCCTCTGATACATGCATTGGTCCATCAGCTTGGAAAACACCAGCCTTCTAATGACCGAAGGATTATGAATCTATTGCACAGTGTTGCAGAAGTGCTCTTGTGGCTATAAAAGTGTTTCTTCATTCACTCGCAGGCTCGATGTCAGAATGGCTCAGTGTGGGTTTGGGGGTCTCTTGCCTCCAGCACCAAACAAGTGAGAATCTCAGAGATGTCGAAGGCCCAGCTCCATCACCCGCTGACCGCTCCCAGCCTCCTCCTTTGCACACACTGGGAGTTTCTTTCTTGAAGCGAAGCACTCTTGGACGGTTCACCCCAACACATTGGACTGTTCCATTATAAGTCTGCACAATTATTATTTTAATATAATTTATCAGATTAATTTCTGTCTCTATTGAAGTTAATAAAAGCCTCACTAATGACTTGAGGACTTTGCAAAATATCTTCAATTATTATTTAAAATTATTAGAATTTTACATATTTAAAGACCCTACCTATTAAATTAGATGGATTATGTATGTTGCCTTATACTCTATGTAATCTTACAGAAATTAACTCTTAGCACTACTGAAGCAGACAGCAGAATTTATATTGATGCCAGTGGGGCCAACATTTTTACCCCCAGTTTCTTCTCCCAAATCTACTAAGCGTTTCCAGTGACTCTGAACAAATCAGCATCTCAGTATTACCTACTGTCTAAGACTTGGAATCATTTTTCTCTCGGTCACAGTGGTATTGTAGGGCCCTTGATATTTGGAAAATGCTTTGAGGTTCAGACTGCTATAGCTGTACTAACCATCACTGGTTATTATTTTCCTGCCACCAATGCCTTATCCTCAAGGTGTGAATAGCAGTGTCTAGTAGAAAGGTTACACAACTGTTTCTATTGTAAAACCGTATTTGCCATTATTTTATGTTGAAGTTTAGCCATTCAAATTAAATGGCACATGCCAGACAACTGCCTTAATTTTAATTGTTTGTTGGGTTTTTATATTTTTTATTATTATTTTGAGGTGTGGAAAGTCTAGCAGTTTCCAACATTGAGATACGAAGAAAGCAAACCCATGGTTAAAACCAGACCTCTGAAGGCTGCTGTCTTGAAGCAACTCCAGCTTTCATGTATCCTGAAATTTGATAGAGCATAGACTAAACCAGGTAAGATCTTTTACTGTTTTCAAGACAATTTGTCCAGATTACTTTCACATTATAAGCTTTAGAAAAACCTGTACATAGCTAATATTTACCAGCACACAGTGTTTACTAGTACATGACATTTGGTAGCTGAAACATCCAAAAATTCATGCTCATTAAGTACATGCCAGCCCTCAGCAGGACACGTCGGTGTTTGGGCTCCCGCCTCATGCCGACGGGAGCTCGTGCTGAGGGTGCTCTTGGCCCAGAGCTCTGCAGAAGCCACTGTTTCCCTGTAATTGTGCCTTTTGTTGGGTCAGGGAAGCACCCGGCCACAGAGGACTCATCTCCCGGGGGCACTGCCCAACAGCCCAGAGAAGCTGCCTGTTTTGAATACAGAGGAAACAGACCGCAGGCAGAGGTGAAGGCCAGGAGCCCGGAGAGGCCGCAGGAGAGAAGCAAGAAGCTACGACAGAGCCGCTCAACCCCACGCACGTCCCGGCCCACGCGCAAATCCTCCTCTTTCGCTGCATTCACCCACCCTCCAGCAGGGACCTCGCCAGGCTCCCCGCCCTGTCCGACATCCACCCCGGCTCCCCCGGCGCACTCCGCCGACGCCTCCAAAGCCCCCTCAACCAGACACGGCTTGGGGGGGAGGCGGGCTGGCAGGAGGCGCGAAGCCGGCAGCCTTCAAGGCTGCAGAGCGAGGCCGGGCAGGAAGCAGAGGCACACAGCGCGGTCTGGGGACACGCTCCGCGGCCGCGTTAGGGTCCCTCAGCGCCCGGCGCTTTGCGAGTCGGTCAGAGCCGGGCGGCCCCGCCCGGGCCTGGGCCGGCCGACTACAGCTCCCGTCATGCTCGGGGGCGGCGCGCAGGCGCAGTGGGCGGGGGCGGGCACGGCGCGGGGCTGCTGGTCGCGGCTGAGGGAGACGGGTCGCTGCCGCCGCCCGGGTGAGCGGGGAGCGGGAGTGGCGGGCGCGGCCGGGGGGTCGCGGCCGCTCGGGCTGACTTCGCGGGGGTGCCGGGGGGGTAAAGGGGTGGGTGGCGACGGGCGCAGCTCTCCGCCCGCTGCCACAGCGCTGCGAGAGCCTGGCGGGAGGGGCCGCGGCGGCGGGTGGAGGAAGAAGAAGAAGAAGGGGCTGGGTCGGCACCCGCCCGCTCCGGACCCGCAGCGGCTCACGGGGGGGCTCCCCGAAACCGCCGTTGGTTTTCCGGAGCGGGAAGGTCAGGGCTTCCTGAGTGCGGAGCTGAAGGGCGCAGGGCGGGGTTTTCCGATTTGCATTGGGAAATGGGCTCTCCGGCAGCGGGGCTTTGCTGCCGCCGGCCGTTGCAGGGGTTGGGTGGGCTGAGGGGAGGCGGGTGGGTGGGTGTTTGCGGGTGGCCGCTCAGGTGGAGGGTACTGGCTAATTTTTTTAGCCAGCACTCAACTTTGCTGTGAAACCCGAAAACTGCATCTTGATAAACTTTGCCTGTAGATCCGGTTAGCTTAATTCTCTTAACTTGCTCTATTTTTTCTACAATTTACAAAGCACGCGAGCTAATGACACGCAGTGACGGAGGAGCGCTCCCCGGGTGCCGCCGTGGCCGGCGGGGGCCCTGCTGCTGGCGGGCCCCGGGCAAGGGGGGCGCGCCCTGGGGAGCAGCCAAGGCTCCCGCCGCTCCCCCGAGCGGCTGCACACCCGCTTTTCTCTATTTCCTGAGAATGTTGCACGTAAGCTTTCAACGTAAGCCTCTAAAAGCTGTCTGCCTGTTTCTTTAGAGGTAGGCACAGGTCGTGCTGAAAATAAGTGATGTTCTGGAGAGGTTGCTGTGTGTTCTAAATTTGCTATAATATATTGAATGTATTCTCAAGACTAATGTTTTGCTACTGTGTCAGGTGTACAGAGCTTGAAAGACGGCCTGTGATATAAGGGAGAACCTGAAATTGGCTAGCACTCAAAAGTTTTCCCTAAGTAACATAATGAGTAAACATAAAGTGAATTTCTTCTACTGCCCTCTTAGAGGCTTGTAAGTTTTGGCACTTTTCTGTTATAGATACAAATGTCTGAATGTTCCTATAAAAGTTCAGATAGTTTGCATCTAGTGTTTCATTTTGATTGAAATGCCTGTAGGCAGTTTGTCCGGGAGGAGATACTGTGTATCAGTGGCCACAGGCAGTACATCTCTACTGAAGAAAATCCAGGTATTATCTGAAAAAAAAAAAAAATGCCAAAACATCCCTCATCCTGGCTGCTCAGAAACTCCCACCACAGCTGTGCTGCCCTGCATGTTGGGAGAGGGAACAAACATCTAGAGTTACAACTGCTGCCAGAGGAGCTTCTCAGGGTGGGCAGTACCTGTAGTACCTGGGATATTTAGCTTATCCCAGCTTTGTATTTATTTGGGATCATGACATCTGCCCTGCAGCTCGTGTGATGAGCACGCCTGGAAGTGTCATGGAGATGGATGTGCTGAAACACCACCTCCTGTGCTGCCAAGGCTGCCTCTTCCATGCCCTCTGCACCTCAACGAATGTGCACGCTGGGGCTCCTGCCTCCTTTGCCTCTGCTGTTGCCTGGGCTGGATGGGTACATCCATGCAGCCCTGCAGCATGGGTGACTGTTTTTCAAGACTGCAGTCACACAGGAGTAAGTTTTTATGAGACAAAATTAGCATCTTAGCTATCAATCAGAACACCTGCCTGTAAGATATCTGTGTCCTAGTTCTCTGTAGTTGTATACAGGACATAGAAAAGAGCAAAGTGGGCTTTGGTTCCAAGTGCCCTCTGTTACAGAGGAGGATCTGGCAGGAACTGGAAATACAGGTGTTTTCTGATTTCCTTCATCATGGAAAAATTTTTATCACCAGTGTAGTTACTCTGCAGTACCTGTCTCTCCCTTCGCATCCTGGGTCACTGTATGGACAAATGTGAAGTTGGAGAAGCTCAGTTTGCCGTATCTAAGACCTAGTTAATTCATTCTTTGAAGAGAATGAAGCCTCGGGCTTGCTTTCATAGGAAAAGAGCCCAGAATAGCTATTCCTTACTGCTTGGAAAACACAATTTACCCTGACAAAAAGCATAGGCAAAAGATGAAGTGCCACCTGCTGGCTCTGTAAAGCTTTGGGCTGGGGAATGCCTGCTGGTGTCCATACCCTGCCCCGTGGGGCTGGAGGGTCAGAAGGCTCAGGTGGATTTTTGAGAGCTTTCTACTAAGAAAAACAGCATTGGGTTGTTCAGCAGAGCTATCGTAAGGCATTACAAAAGTATCCTAAGGAACCTGTTGGGATTATGGTCATATTTCTGTTTACACATTTTTCTCCTAGCTTTGGTAAATAAGGATAGTTCTTTCAAATGCAGCACATTGTTCATAAACAGTTCTGTATAATCTTGCACACTGGAAAATAAAATTGTTGCCATCGCAGGGGTTCCCAGGGGAAATGCTCAGATTAGGTTTCTCCAAGCAGTTGGGATGGTCTGGGGCCCTGACTGGTGCAGGAATGCAGACAGCCCTGCGGAACCCCCTGCTCTGGACCCCCTTGCTCTGGGTCGGGTTCACCCAGAGGGTGGCTGGAAGGAGGCTCTGAAGGAACAAATGAGATTAAAGTGAAGTCTGCAAAAGTGCTGGCCAAAACCGGCTCGGTTTGTTTTTCATGATGTCACTTCTATTTTAAAATCCAAATTACGGAAACCATTTACAGTGGACTTTAACAAAATTGTAGTTTCCTGTGGGCAAGATATTTCTAAAGAGTTACTCCTGTTAGGGTCCCAACAAACTGTGTTCTTAAGTATAATAGAAATCTCGGGGGTGGGCGGTGGGGTGGGTGAAATTTTGAAAGAAAATTGGAAACCAGCTATTTTTAGAATCTTTTGGGTTTAAAAGATACACTTTCAGAGGGGAGAAGCCAAAAATATTTTAACTTGTAGATAAAAGGTGTGTGAAAGTTGCTTGACAGTCTTTCAGTGGATGAGTCAGGTATATTTATAAAATGGCTTAAAACAGCTATCTTCTAATTTCTTTAGTAGTTTGTTGATTTCTCAGGTGAAGGAATAATGGCAATATTTTTATCTCTGTAATATCCAACAGAATATCTTCATTTCTGGTTTTTCAACTTCTACCTAACAGAGAATTGAAATTGGATTGATTGGAAGTGATGGCTTTGTGTCCATTTCCCTAAATATTTCCTATGCAACTATGAAGTTGCTAGAGTGAAGAACTTACTTTACCTTATAGTTATATATCTGAAAAAATATTACTAACCCTTTTGACGTTCAACATATGTAATGTTTTGTGGTAAAGCTAAGAAGCGTACTTAGAAGAAAACTAGATCTGCTCATCAAAAAAGTGCAAAGTATTTGCAAAGCCAAAATTGATGGTTACAGTTTTGCCTACAATTTTGCAGTAAGACATGCCACAAATATTCATGGTCTGAATAGCCACTCCTAAAAACTTGTCATGTGTTACGCATTTACCTTTCTCTATGTTGCGCTGCTGCAGTGAGTGAGGGAAAACAAACAAAGTACTAAATGTGTTTAATGGGAGGTGAAGGGGCCTGTTTGATTAGATTAGGGCTTCAGCTGGCCTTTATGCCCTTTTTAGGCAATGAGAATTCCTGGCATCATGTTTTAAAACCTGCTTTTTAGCACGTTATATATGAGTGTCATATATGCTGTGGTTTCTTTTGTAGAGAATGATTCTGAAAGTCATTATCAAGCAATTTCTGTGTAGTACAGACATGTTAACCAGTGCTACCATCATGACTTTTTTAAGGTGTCTCACATTAAGTATGCTTTCATATTTTAAAAAAATACTTTTGATAGGTATTAGAAAATATGTCCAAAACTCCTGAAATTTAAATTTACCAGGCTACATGTGATTCTCTTCCTCTTGCTGAAGTGAAGACTCAGTTGGAGAAATAGTGGGGTTTTTTACTCTCCTGCTTTATTTTCACTTTTTTTGTGTGTGTGTGGGAACACTGTAGCTCAGGATTTGAAATGGTTACTTTGAACATATTATAGAAACAAGTGAGATTGAGGGCTATGACCTGAACATTAATTAATGTATTATAAAAGATGAGTAGTTTTCCAGTGTAAAGCATACAAATGCAGTAAATAAAAGGTAATTAATTCTGGGTGACAGAATTTTACAGCAATTCATGGAGAGGAAATACAAGCCTATGTGAATGTAATGTATGGTTATGCAGTGCTACTCCCTGTCACAGTAAGGGGAGCATTATTCTGCAGTATGCTAACTATTCTGCTCGTTATAATTACCTGTTATAACTACACCTTAAAATATTTGAATGCAAATGGACATGCAGAAATGTGGTAACAGTAGCATGTTGATGTAGGATTCAGACGGTGCAGCCTGGTCACAAACAATGCTGTGTAATCAGCTGCAGGAAATGTTTTTCTCTTATGATAGTGTGCAATGGCTTAAACTGTAAGGAAGGACAAAACATTAAGGCTCTAGGAACGAGAAGTTTGCATGCAGATTGTGTGGCATCTGCTGCAGCTGTCAGCTAATTGTCCTTCAGCTGTTACGCACCTGGAGAAACAAATACCATGAGACTATGAAAACTGTAGGAAGTTGTGCGCTAGACCTTAGAGACACTCCTTTAGTTACTTTTGGAACATGGCTTTGAAAAGCATAGGTGTGCTGCCCTCTGCATTTTCTGCAGTCATTACTCAGATGTTCTCAGCTCTGTGGCCTCTTGCAGGTCCAAGCTCTTCCAACCATGTTGGGTTTTAGTTAAGAGGAAGCCAGACACTGTTCTTTTGATGTAATTTACCATGAAATTGAGAATTCTTCCTGTATGTTGTTATGTTCAAGATAACTTTACCTGGATTGGTAGTTCAACTTTGGAAGTATGTCCTATTGATGTCAACTGTGGTTTATAAGTAAGCTGTAGCATTTATATCAGTAATATTTTTTAAAAGATATCCTGAAAATAGCTGTAAATATATTCCTCATTCAGGTATAGATGTTGGTAGGAACTGAAGATTTACTGTTCTTGCAAAGGCAATTGTTAAAACCAGATTTACTTTACAGGTAAACTTGACTGAATAGCGTGGATGAGCCTTTATGTGCTTGTGCCTGTTCAGTGTCTCTGAATTAAATGTCACCATATGTAACTGTGACATAGGGAGACCTTTCTTGATGTAAACAACTGAGGTGAAGGATTCCTGTAAGCAGGATTCCATGGTATAGTATGTATATGTGGCCCTTATTTTCCTTTTACTTAAGAGGCAATAACTTTAAGTTGATCTGTTTTTGAAGTACAGTGTAAGGGCAGGTTTGAAGTAACACAGTTAGTATGTGTGGTGTGAGCATCTGAACTGGAATGTGGGCTATGTTTGTTGTGTGTCTGATCTGTGTTGAGTATTTCTGTAGAGCCAAGAAAGGGGTTAGGGAGGCTAATGGACCTGAATGTACGGATCTTGCTTTTGCTACCCGAGTACATTACGGACACACCTGCTTACTTACAGAGTCATTCAAGTTACCTTTTTTTTATGTGTCTGCTTAACTTGAAGCAAAAATTTGGCTGAACAAAAAGAGAATCCCAGAACTTCTTATAGAAAAAGGAGAGAAACCAACTTATCTGCTTCAACACTGTCATGATTAACTGTTTGTTTTTTTCCAAGCCAAATACTTAAAAATTGTGACTGTTAGAAAAAAAGGTTCCCTGTGCTCTCCTTGTCCATGAGAAATATTATATAGACTGTACCTCCTTTGAAGAACCCCAATTTCCTCTAAGTATAATATTTAGTGAGCAGTTATGCAGTCTGTTCGGTATTTTAAAATTTTTTTGGTAATAGGATTTACTGGAGTGCTGGTCCTTAGGAGCTGTATTCCCTAAGCCTTTCATCAAAGTATTTTAATTTTCCTCAGACAGAACAGAATGTTACTTCAATGGCAGTGCTATAATTAACTCTGAGGCAAACTTCCTTTGTTCCCTCTGTAGGTAATACACAGGGATATGAGTCAGTTATAACCAATTAGCTTGTTTGTAGTGAAGTTCTCCTTTACTGCCCTCGAACAGCAGCAGCAGCAACAGAAGTGTAAAGCATCTTAACTCTTCTTTTAACTGCAGTATCTAAAAACCAGTGGTGTTAAGGTGGGCTGATAAACCCTAGGTAGAGTTGGTATCTCTTCCCTCCTACCCTGCAGCCTGCCCTGCTCTGTGAGAATTACAGCCTTGGAGTTCTCACTGAGAAAACTGGGTACTGGCATTCCTCTGAGTAATATATATAGCTTAGTTACTGATGGAAAAGGGCATGGCAGGACGGGATTCTTGTCAGTGAAGTAGCAAGGTGTATACAGCTTCCAAGCGTTCTTTGTCTGTTGTAGAATAACATAGATGTGAATACTGGATGAAAAAGCTTTCCTTTCAGAGGTGTATTTGGAGGCTGAAGATGCTTTGTAGTTGGGATATTTACTTTAACTATGGTTATATCTTCTTAAATTTTTTTTCATAGATCTGATTAAGACTTGGGTTTTGAAGTGTTGGAGCAACTTGCTACTGCCCAAGTCATGACACTTCCATTTCGAAAGGACTTGGACAAGTACAAAGATCTTGATGAGGATGAAATTCTTGGCAAGCTTTCAGAAGAAGAACTGAAACAACTGGAAACTGTTTTGGATGATCTTGACCCTGAGGTAGGTATTGGGCAAAAGAAGTTTTATTTTTTCATTTGTTCAGAAACTAGTCTGAAATAAATCGAGGCTTTTTTTTTTAATCATACAATTCACCATTGGACAGCCTTTTTTCCTAGTCTGCTGATGATCTTATTTACAGGCATATATGTGTATATAATGTTTCAACTGTTTATTTCCTGTTTGCAATGCGAATGCAACTGCAGTAGAGGGAAATGAAAGAAGGCATTGTCAGGAGGAGCTTTCTGGGCTTTATTTATAAATAAAAATTGCATTTAGTCACGTTCTTGAAAAGAAAGTTTATTTACAAAGGCCTATTTCCTTTTCTGTTTCCAGTGTTGTCTGGTAAACAGCTCTTATGCATCCGTTTTTATTTTGTTGCTTCTACCATTGGACTTTGGGAGAGGGAGGGTGCTAACCTGTTTTAAAGATTCCTGATCTTTCATCTGGTAGCCCACATCTATTCCTGTCCTCATGCTGATTTTGCAAAGAGGAGGCAAATAATTACTCAACTCCTGAATGATTATGTCCACATGGGGTATTGAATAAAGAATATTTTAGCTTTCTGTTATAACAAGTTGAGTTACGTTCTCTACTGATACTGCAGCTAATGTCAGAGTCTAACACTTGTGTTTTCATGTCCCAATTCTCTGTTCTTGCTTTAGTAATACCAGGATTAAGTTTAATCTTGATGTGCAAGGATGATTTGAGAATATTATGATCACCTTTTTTGTTGCACTGCAAGATATTATTGATATTTTAATTGGCTTTGGCTTTATAGACATTTTAACAGAGAAGAACTGGCAAAAAGTGGTTGTCTTTTATGACAGTCTGAATTTCTATATGTTCTATTCTTTCTATACTAGTATCCCCCATTTTTTTTTTCCTGTTTTTTGGGAGTTTTTTAGCTGAAATATGTTGATGGTAGCAAAAAAGCTCCCCACCTTGAGTCAGGTCAAAAGTAGAAATACCCTGTGTTAAGTGCTGGGCAATAGTATAGCCAGTTGACTTAAAGACTTAGAAACACATAGATGTAAGTAATGGAGGAAGAAGTCTCTTGCTGAATGTCTAAACTGTAAATAGCTGAGTTTTATTTACTACTACTCATTTAAACAGTGTTCGTTCTAGAAAAGAAATGCAAACTAACAAGTCTAGTGCTTAAAGTCTAGAATATTAAAAATTGCTTAAGCCCTATTTAGAGTGCAGTGTGCTCTATTTGTAATTGCATTCTTGGTATTTAAAGACTAGATTACCTTGTGTCCTCCGTCCCAAAAAAAAGGAAATTGGCAAGGGATAAAAGATTGCCTAAAAAGGATGATATGTCAGTTCTGAACCTTGGGGAGAGGGAGAAGGATGGGGGAAATGAAACTAAACAGGAGTTCACTCAGACTTTCTAAGCTGTACTTACTTGCTCCATTTTGTTTTGCAGAATGCACTTCTGCCTGCAGGCTTTCGACAGAAAGACCAGACTGCTAAAAAGGCTTCAGGTCCCTTCGACAGGGAACGACTCCTTGCATATTTAGAGAAGCAGGCTCTTGAGCACAAAGACAGGGAAGACTACGTGCCTTTTACAAGAGAGAAGAAAGGTAACACCACCCTTTCCCATGTAGGTGGTTATGAAATCTCTGAAGTGGACTAGCTAGAACTACTGTGAACCAAAGTTTACTGAAGTACTGGCAGCTCTATTGCTTTTTAACTCACAGCGTTTCCAAATGAGTGCTACTGTGCAGAGGTGGGATGCTTCCTGTTCAAGCATGTTGTGATGCTGGGGCTGTTGTGCTGTTTGCGTGTAGCACAGGAAGGAAATAAGACTCAAAAATTTTATCAAAGGTTGCAAAGTTCTGATGGGGATGGCATCCTCAAAGTAAGAGCTACCCATGATTTGTGTCAATAGTGTTGTTGTGCCTGTGGCTTATGCCCTGTGGTGCTGAGTACAAACAGTAACACTTGTAATAATACACTGAATTTTAAAAAATAGCAGAATGATGTTGTGGTAGGTAATAATGTTCAGAGATGTTGTAGGCTGATCAGGCCAGGCAAGCAGTGTATGCAATCATATTGTCTTTCTAGTATCCTTACTGAGAGGTTTAATAAGATTGCATAGCTGTTATTAACTAATTACATAGTTAACATTGCAAGAAGCTTTGAAATCTGGCAGTAGTTTGTGGTTTAAAAAACATGAAAACATAGACCCAATGAGTGGACACGTTATTAAAGCCTGGGATTTTAAATCTTTCTTTGGGATCTAGTCTTCTTGTTGACGTGATGGGAAACATCATTTTCCTTTTCAGGAGAAAATTTAAAAAGTATGTGCATCTTAAATCTATTCTTACAATATTTTTTTAATTTTCCCCACAAAACAAGAGTTCCCAAATTTGTTGTACCTTACTAAGCACTATTGGTAGGCACAGAAACTTGTAGTCCTGTGCTGGGCACATGTGCATAGAAGGAGGCTTTTAGCTGTTGTTGCAGCATTTGTGTACTGCTTGTGAGTCCTAGCTTGTCTGAACCTTCCCCAGCAGCAGGACACATCTGCTGCAGTAAGACTTAAGTAAATTGTTTGATAGGTTGTATTCCAAGTGCCCAAGATGAACAGGCTTTTCTCTTAAGGGTTTGAAACCCTTTAATTCTACTTAATTTTCTGGTGTGAATCATTGCTTATTTCAGATGAGTCTTCATTCATCTACCAAGTTTGTACATATGTTTGTGGTGTATATTTGGTGAAAATTTTGTTGGGGGTATTTGCATTTTCTCTGTACCAGATAGCTGTTAGTTGAAAATGTTGGTCTCTCTTTTTCTTGAAGTAACAGAGAGATTGTGACTTTATAATGTGCTGCACTGTATATGATGTACTGCTTCTCTAATACACTATGTTTTGCCTTATTTGGGTAGTTTAATACCACTTCTGTTGAGAGATAACTCTGACACTCCTTTGCTGACAGGAGAATGGGAGTTTGCTGACTGAATCTGTAAGAGTAACCAAGTTAAGGATAATACAACATATTGAATGGAGAAGGCAATCAAAGGTACCTATAGCAGCAGAACCCTTACGGTATCTCTGCTGCTGGCAAGTACCTGTTGATCCTGTGTTTGCTGTGTAGTGTGCCACTGCTTCCTCCCCTGTTCTGCTTCTCACCCGACGTATTTGCTAGTGTATGTTGGAGACAGCCTAACGATTTAACGTGTTTGAGTTCGAGTATATTCGGGCCTCAGCTGGTTTGGGGAATCCCTTGCAACCTGGCTAGCTTGTGCACAGCTCCTTCAGCATGTGAGGCTGGGCATGGAGGATTTGTTCTAGTTAGTACTTCCACTGTGTACTAGTGCTTCATTCAGATAGGTGGTTCTTTAAAGTCAGCTTACGTATACATGCATATGGCAAAACTATTTGTTTGGGTAGATAAAATCTGTGAGAATCATGTAGAAAAACAGAAGGATCCAGCTGTAATGCACATCTTGGTTAAGAAAGATCAAATGTCATTTCCTTTATGTAATAAAGTATTACTAAATAGCAGTCTGTCTGGATGTTGCAATATGTCATACCAGTTTAGTTAGTAAAATTTCCTGTATCTCCCTAAAAAAAAAAGTTGTTATTTAATAACTTTTTCTACCATTTATTTTAGTATCACAGAAGGGAAAATAATATGAAAAATTAAATGTAGTTTACTTTCGTTAAAACTAAAAATGTGGAAACAAATGTTCAGTATGGAAATGTATGCTCTGTTAAATGTACAGGAGGCGGCAGGAAGGCTAAGCTCATTTTGTAGTAGGTGAGGAGTAACCTTAACATTTTCATGAGGGGAAAAGAAATGGCTCAGCTCTGACTTGCTGCTATGTTGGTAGCCATGGCAAATCTATGTAATTTAATCTTTTAAATGCCTTCAGTGTTTTTGCCAAGAAAGGTTGGACCACGTGACCCTTGAGGTCCCTCCTAACCTGGTATTCTATGAAATCAAGAAATTGTGATCTTTATCTTGATGTAAATTTTGGAAAGGGAGTGGAGCAAAACTTAATATGTGTGTAGGATGTTTTTTTATCTAGAGGGAGCTCTTATCCTAATGTGCTTTTATTTAATATTAAAAACCCAATCAAACTACTAAACTAGATTATAATTTTTCTCTTTGGCTAGACAAATGTATTATGGTGAAACACTAACAAATTGTGGAATAGGAGTAGGTGAAAATCTTGCTTGTTTATCATGCTAATTCGGAAGAAAAGCGATAAATCATAACTTTCAAGTCTAGAGGTCTGTGGAGGGGAGCAGGATGGATTGGAGTTGCAGCTGTCTTCTTGGTGCCATGTTTGTGGGTCAGGCTTTGCGAAAATATTTCTGTGTACCTAGCAGGTCTCATTGTTCTAACTTGGTCTAATTATTCATTTCATGCAGTAAGAGGGGGAAAAAAATCTATCCTTCTCCTTCATTTTCCTATTTTAATAGATCTGATGTCCTGTGTGGTGATTTGGCCTGCAGGTTTATCAAAGAAGTTTACCCTGGGTTAGTTTTAAACATCCTGTCTTGCTACTGATTCTGGTAGCCTTGTTTCTCTACAACAGTGCAAAGGAAAATCCTCTCTTTCAGTTGTCCTAAGTACATCATTTTGAGTTAACATATTATTAAAACAATTTTGCATCTCTTTCACTGATAGATTATATGATTTCTCCAAACATTTGGAACTCTTTTTTTTTTTTTTTTTTTTGCGGTGTGCAATGAAATATGGAAAATCTGAAATAATATAAAGTGTCCTGATGTAGCAAGATGAATAATGCTAAATAAATATGAAGTTTAACACTCCATAAATTATATTCTACTGTATTTTTCAAGTGCCTGATTTTGTTTCTAAAAGCATCCTTAAAAACATACTTCATTTTTAAACATGATTTAATGACTTTAGTCACATTCTGTTCCAATTAAGTGTTGAACTATACAGTAAACCATTGTTCAAGAGATTCATGAGAGCAATGTGGTAATAATTTCAACAAAACTAGCTTTGTCTCAATCTGTGTACGTAAGTATGTTATAAAGATTTTACAAGGCATACTGCAGGGAAAAGGATCTCATCTAAACAGTGAAATGAGGCTTCAGTGCTAGAGGCTGTTGCCCTCGAGTGTGTTCCACACATCTGACAAAGTCTGACCAATGATTCTCACTTCTCTTGGTATAGCAAAAGATGAGAATTATTGCACCTGAGATACAGATATCTAACATCAGTAACGTACTTTGTGCTGTATAGTGCAAGGCATTAGCAAATCATTATGTAAATTAAGCTTTGTATTTCTAGCCTTTGCACTCTCTTAATCATGTCTTTCTCTTCCAACTCTCCCTCTGCATTCCTGCTGGGGTATGTTTGTTCTGTATAGATTTGTCTTTCATGTAACTTCTGCTTTTAAGGCTGGTGGTTGGGATTTTTTCCTGCTCCATCATTCAGAAAATATTGTTAGGCTGAAACTGTAGACACCTGGCTAGAGCTTTTATCTGCCCTGCTCAGTTGTTGCTCTAGATCATTATTTGTTTCTGTTGCAGCAGGATTTGGGATGGTGTGTTCTCTGTCTTTCAATCACTGGTCTTTAAAGGAAGCGTGTTACATGTAAAATTAAACTAATATCCTGTAGGAGCTTTGGAGAAACAACTTGTTGAATTGACATTCTCCATGCAAGACCACTAGAACAAAATAACATGTGATACTCTAGCCTTAATGTAAAACAGTTTTCTTACTCACTGCTAGGTGCTCTGTAATCAGATAATGAATAACAGTAGTTTCCACAGTAGGACACTGAGGAAGTCACTTGTAAGTTGGATTAAAAAATTAGTATTAAATTGTGATTACAAGTGAATTGATGCACCTAAATCTGTCATGCGGTAAGAACTGGTGATTGATGAACCATGGATTATATCAACTTCTGGATTGATAAAACTTTAAGGAATATAAGATGTAAGGAATGTATCAGATGTTGCTTGCTCTTCACGAAGTCACTGATGAGAAGAGCTTGTATTTGGCTGTCCTCGAGTGACACTTGATTCCTTTTCTGCAGACAGTGTGCTGCAAAGTAGATTTTAGACTTTTATCTGATCTGCAAGTTGTGGCCACTTGCTGCCTACTAGCATGGGGTAGAACTGCAGGAAATTTGAGAATAATACCAGCAGTATGAATTACACGGCCACACTGAATGGACCTGATTTCTGCAAGATTTTCAGTGCCACCTTAGATACTGTGAGTCTGTGCTTGAAATGTCTAGGGCACTTCAACAGACATCACCCAATGTTTCTGCCTTTTGAGCAATACAGTTATGTGGAAAGCCTGTGAATTAATTCTGGGATGTGCATCATTTAACATGTTAGCTAAAGGCATAGAAGACCTGAATATATAATTATTATAGAAATTATGTGAACATCTCTGAGATTTGCCTCTTCATGTTGTATTGCTTAATCTTTGCAGTATACTTCTTGGCTGAAAAGGAGTATGTCATGTTCCTTCATGTGATCAAATCCCTGCTATTTGGAAATGTTCCACTTGAGGGCTGAGAAAGCTATTCATTGCATGGGCTGCACAGATGTGTGTGTGGGGGGGTTCTCTTTTGTCTTTTTTTTTTCTTTTTTTTTTTCAAGCTTACATTAGTAAGGGGGGAAGGGAATTGCCAAACTGTCTTGGCAGCAGGCCTTGAGTTAGCTCATTGTCCCAAGTGACACAGGGGTCTTACCCTTTTTGAAGTAAGTCCGTTACTGGAAGTGGGGAGTGGGGAAGGACCTGCTTTTGCATGTGCCTTGTAAATCTCTGAACTCTGGGCTAGGATGAGATGAAGACAATGAATGAGACATTATATACACAAGGGTGTGACCTGTTTTATAACAAAAACTGCTCATGACCTAGTTCATGTGACTGGAGTTGGCTGCAATGAACATTTCTAGAGGGGAGTGGCTTTTAACATTTTTACTTTAATAAAAACTGAATATACTTCTCTCTCTCTTTAGGTTATCTTGAGTCAGGCATGTATGGATAAATTTAGTCTTACTCTTAGGAAGCAAATTGTATAGAACCAGAAGTTCCTAACTTGTTACTTTAAGTAATTCTAAAATTTATATCAATAGAAGTAGTTCTTTTTTATAGAGTGTTGTGTGATGAACCAGACAGGAAGCTGATCTGAGTTGAAATACATTTTTATAAAGTTGCTTTTAATTGAGATCAGTTTCCTTCTGCTCGCTGCCTGATGCACTGATGCTACAAATAGGATGGCATAAACAAAGGCCCAGGTGCTCATATCATACTTTCCTTCTCTTCTCTTTTCTTGTACTCTGAGATCCTCACTTTTTTACCAGTCTGTATTACTGAGGGAAAACAACACAAACATAGCTAATGAAAGGCTTTAGATCATGAGTATGCTGTTCAGTGTCTTTCATGGGTTAATGAAAACCTTGTCAAACATTCTTGTATCTCTTATAAAAGTTACAATTTAAGTTGCAAGTTATTGTCTCCCCAGTAGGTGATGCATGTAAAATAAAATGGGAGTAGAAGTGTACTATATCAATTATATCAAAATAATCTTAAACATTTACTACCTAAGCCTTCCAATTTATTAAGGTTTTTGTTTAATCCTGAATCACCACAAACATAGTTTCTTTTGCACTGTCCATCAAACTTGAGGTATGGGTGGTAATGCATGTCAGCTGCTTTCAGCTACTGTTTGTAGTCAGTACAGTTATGTAAGAAGATTTATTTTCTGCTTCTAAATATGGATAATGAGCATTTATACGATTTTCCAAAGAGATAGCAACCCAGGAACAAAAATACCGTGTTGCTAGCAACAGATCTTGTTTGCCAGACTGTTGTCAGAGAAAAACCTGATACACTTCTTTGTAATCTGTGCTAGTGGTAATGCGTTAAGTTCCTTTAAAAAGAAAATGAAGCACAAACTGTTGTAATCTAGGATGGGAATTTGTAGAGAGAAGGTGAACGGGTTTTGTTATGGCTGTATCTGCTGTGGGGCACAAGAGCTGACTTCAGGCGTTGCTTCCCACAAGTGAAACTAAAATCCTGCTTTGCTGGAATTTCTCAGATATAAAATGGAAATATCCCTATAAAGCTTCTTGTCACTGGGAGGCATTTAAAAATGCTAAACTTAGTCTTAGTCCAAACATGTAACAAGATATACTTGTATGCAGTATGAGGAAAAAAAAAAAAAAATCTTAGGCTTCTGGTTTCTGCCCAGCTGGTCTGATTCTGGTGCATGGTGGGTTTTCATTGTGTAATTGGGATGAGCTAGGGTGATTCGTGTGTGGAAATGTTTTTTAGCTATGAATGTGGAAGAAGGTGGGTTCCTGAATTAGCACTGAGACTTCACAGGATGATTATCAACACCACTTCTGACTGTGGGAAATAACTAAAGGGAGTTGGAACCCCTTACCTCTTTCCCGCAGCTCTGTCTACTGATAGCTTGGGCAACTTGGAAAGTCTGAAAAACTTTGAATAACTGTTAAGATTAGATTCACAGTTTTCAAATTGTGAATTATTTCTACCAAATGCATCAGTTTGGTTTTCTTATACAGTACTGGAGCTTTTATTTACCATGTTTATTTGTCCTGAACCTAAGCACTCCATACCTACTCTGGGTTCTTACCCAGGGGTAGGCTACTTTGTTCTGAAAGGCCAATTCTAAATCATTCAAATCTGAACTGTTTTCAGAATAACTGTTATGAATAGATTTCTCATATTCTGATTTCTGACCCTAACTTTTCAGCTGAAGATATATGTTAACTACAAAGACCTCTATAATGTATGTATCCTAAAATAACTTTTCTCACTATCTGTAGTGGCTAAAAACTTGGTGCAGAATATGATATTACTACTGCTCTTCTCCCATTGAATCTTCTGTGGTCTTTCTAAGCATCATTTTAGAAAACAGTGTCATTGGCAGAGAAATCTATTATCTTGGCTTGTGCTATTCACAAACCACAGTTTTCTCAAGCAGCTCCAGCATCTTTTTTTACTTCAAAATTGAGTCTGGAAAAAGATTGAGTTTCTGCAATTGCAAATATCATGTATGCTGTAAAACTGCAGTGAATACTCAAGTCTGTGATTTCAGATGATTCTTCGATATTCTCTTTCTCTGACACATTCATATTACAGTTCTGCCTGGGTCCCTTTCTCCCTTGAGAGGATACCAGTCATTATTCTCTAGTGATAGTAAATTTTCCTTACAGGCACTTTTTTTAGGCTGTTTAAAATGTATAGTGGAGTCTTAGATTTTACTATCTAATTCTTAGGAGAAACAAATAAGATTGGAGTCATGAGACAGACTCCTGAAAATTTGAAATAAATAGTGTATTCCTGCTTATACTTTTTCATCATATCTGACTTCCAAGAACAAGCAGGAGAAACCTCATTCCTTTATGTTGTTCTTGGTGCTTATCTCAGGATTTACTATATGTAATATGTATTCCTTAAGTACAGAAAAGTTTAAAGATAAGTAGCTATATAATACAAAGTAACACCAGAATTTTCATTTTCTTTATTCTAGGGAAAATATTTATCCCCAAGCAAAAGCCGGTACAGTGTTACACAGAAGAAAAATTCTCTCTTGATCCAGAACTGGAGGAAGCCTTGACCAGTGCCACAGACACAGAGTTAGGTGACCTTGCAGGTTAGTTTTTTTGAAGTATGAATGGGCTGTTGCATATCTAGGCAAGAAATACCTGTAATTAATGTGGTGGTGTATTTGTTATCTGAAATGTGACTGTAGGAAGTTGTAATTATGATAGAAACAAGATGATGTTATATGCTTCTTTGCTTGTAGCTTATCAACTTTGGTGATTTGTGATGATTTATAGGAAGGTAGGTTATTTTGGCCTGCAAAAGACACCTGATTTTCAAACTCAAAGGTTTTGAGTTCATTCCTCAGACTGGCTGGTTTTTGTTGTGTACGCTGCTGCTTTTTCTTGTGTTTAAGAATGTGGTGTTATGTTCCTAAGGCTTCAGTGAAGAGTTTTGTGACTTTTAACTTTGTTTGAACCTGGTGAGGTTAAATATTTTTAAGATGTGAAATCCAACTAAACAGTCTAGAATTAATTGTTTTTTCTACTTTAAATTATTAGGAGATTGAATGGCTTATTATACTGATAACTGGGTGTTTTATAAACCTCAGTTGTTATTTGAAGAAACTTTGCATCTAAGCTGAATTAGTCAGGAACAGTAAAAATATATATATTTTTTTTTCTCCCCCGTTTTTTTCCTTTTACAGCTATACTGGGAATGTCCAACTTGATAACAAACAACCAGTTCTGTGATGTAGTGGGAAGCAGTAACGGAGTTGACAAAGACAGCTTCTCAAGTAAGTGTGTACGCAAGTGCTAGATAAATGAGCTCTTTGTAATGCACACAGTTACTATAGCATTAACTATTTTCTGTTGCACTAGCATTCTTTATAGACTATTCAGTCTTGAGTTGGAAATGTGCATGTCTGTAACATTGCTAATTGAGTTTTGTCAAGAGTGGAATCAAAATATATGTACACTAAAATCTATTCTGCATTTAAGTCACTTTGGGAGATAAAAGTAGGCATAAACATGCATTTGTGTGTGTTGGTTTTTAGGTTTCAGATTTGTATTTTTAATTCAACTCCTATGTGATTTATGAAAAAAAGCTGATGTGCCAGAAAAGCAGAAAGGCTATGAAGACTTTTGGAAAAAAATGAAGTTTATGAAAATATGGTCAGGAGAGCATGATATGCTTTTTGGGTAGGGGAGAGATGTAGACTAATGAAACAATCTTTAAATACAGTAAATATTTAGTATGTGTATTATGTATTCACAATGAATATGTGATTTGTTAGAATACAATTAAATGCCTTCCTTTTCAGATATTGTAAAAGCTGAAAAAATGTTGCCTGTTTTTGATGAACCGCCAAATCCCACAAATGTAGAGGAGACACTGCAAAGGATTAAAGATAATGATTCTCGTCTTGTTGAAGTTAATCTGAATAACATTAAGGTAATTACCTGAAGTCTGCAGTAAATATGCTGCTTTTTCTCAGTAGAACACACTTTAAGCTGCAAAACTGACAGCATGATAGGCTTAGTTTAAGTACAGCAGCCTTTCTGCTCAATGTTGCAGTGTGTGTGTGTAATCTCAGAAACCTGGAGCTAAACTGATAAGCCATTTTAGTTTCTTTTGCCAAATGTGTATTTAAAAAGTCTTAGATTTTCTTACTGTCAGCCCAGATTTCTGTTGCTGCCAAGTTGGCAACAGTTCACCATCACGGAGTTAACTACTATGAATCCTTTGTGCTTGATGAAGCAATGTGCTCTCAGTTAGTGCTGTTGCAAACAAAGTGATATTTGTACCTGGCTTCCTACGCATTCTTGTACAAAAGAGTTGTCAGCAATTAGAGCAGCTTCTGCTCATAAGTGTAACAGTTGTGTTTTTAAACATGACTGAAACTTTTGTATATTTGCATGAAAAGAAACAGAACTATAGCACTTGTGACTTACTATTCAGACAGCAGTGGCAGACTGCTAGCTGCAGACTCACCAGCAGCCAAGGCTATTTGTTGCCCTTACTAAAGGAAGAAAATAAAATACCTGGTTTAAGAATGTTGTACAATACAGAAATGCTAGCCAAAATAAATGCTTTAAAAGGCAACAGAACAAAATTTATAATATAATAAACTGATAAATTTGCTTGCCTAATTAATAATCTAAAATTATTCCTTTAAAGCTTGGTTGCTACTACACTGTAAAAATTATCAAACTATAAATTGGCAAATTCTGGAATTATTTTTAATAGAACACAGAGAATGAAATGCTAATGGTTTCACCAGCCTAAAGCTCTAAATCTTTTTATATTTGTGGGAGGTTAATTTGATGTTGATAGTTAGCAGAATGTTCAGTTCATGTAAATTTTGCTCAGTAACAGTTCCAGGTCAGCTGAATATTTTTTAACACTTGTGTTGTGGCAATGGCATTAATGTAGTAAAGATGACTTTGCTTTATAGAACTGGGGATTCTAACAGCCATTGTATCTTATGTATAGCTTTGCTGCATGTGTAGGCCCTTACTGTGAGACTGCTGGAGACCAGTGATAGTTAATATTCTAGTATATTTTGCTGAAAAGAGCATAAAATAATGGAAGAAGTTGTGGGGAAGGGGATAAACTTGTGTATCTCAAGAGAGTGAAATGCTATTTTTAATTCAAGAGCATACCCATTCCAATGCTGAAAGAATTTGCAAAAGCCTTAGAAACCAACACACATGTGAAGAATTTTAGCCTTGCAGCCACCCGAAGCAATGATCCTGTTGCTGTTGTAAGTACTCTTGCTAATGCGCTTAAGTGGGGCACAAGGGAAGTTAGGATGGGAAGACAATGGTAAGGGATTGAATTGGATCCTGTTTAAATATTTAGGGATGAAAATTATTAAAATCCATTACACTGTAATGTATGTTTTCTTTAGCAAACCCTTGTTGCATCGAAGTTGATACAAGATTATGAGTTGACTTAATATGCAGTGATGCATCAGATGTATGAGCATTCTGTTTTTCCAATCCCTTCCCCTTGACTTTTCATTTTGTTAACCTCCTTCCTGTTTTTCTTTCCTTCCTAATTGTTTAGTTCCTGATGTTCATTCCATGCGCCAATCGTTTATTCAAAATGAATTTCAAAAGGAGCACATTTGGGAACTGAAAAAGCTCAATTTTTTTCCACTAACTGGAGTTTTAGTTGAAACTTATAGAATACCTGTTTCTCTGATCTCCTATCTCCCTGCTATCAAAGATGAGATTAAAGCATCGGCATATAAAGCATAACATTAGTCAAGTTTGACACAACTGAAACTAAGTATTTATCATCTGCTCCTGTTTTTCCTATGTCAAAAATCAAAAGTAGTACCTTATTTATTTGCAAATAAAGAGATAAGAAAACAGCACAAACTGTTTTGTCAGGACCATACTTTGCATTTGTTTTAATTTCAAATTAGAAAGAAAACTAGTTTGAAAGACTCCATAAATGAACATCTGAAAGCTTTGATTTGGGTCAATTAAAAAGTTCCTCTTCATTAGAACTGAAACATTTGTAATAAAAACCTATAAAGGCATGTTTTCTCAGGTGTGGTTCTGTTGCGTTTTTTTTGCATTGTTACTAGATACAAAAAATGTAAAGAGTATGATTTTTATGACAGTAAACCTCAGCAGTTACCTATTCTTGTTTTCTTATTTTCTCAGAAATAAGATCAGGTGTATGCCATTTCAGTAAGAGTGCTTCTGGCTACATGCTGGTACTGTGCCTAGAGCTTTGAATTCTACGTCTTCCTACCAAATCAACAGACACAAGCATTTTGCAAGTCAGATCTCCTGTTTACAAATTAACCATATCTAATTCTCCTTTCAGTTGACTAACGCCTTTTCTTTGGCCTTTACTTAGCAGCTTGCATTACTCATTGTATGCTGTGAAGGCATGAAAAATGGAATTGGTCCAATATGCTAATTTCAGACAATTTATATTCTGTGTAGCTTTTTAGTTTGTAACAAGAGAAAGTCAGGCCTTTTCTTGACTAAGTACTATTAAAAAAAAAAAAGAGACTGTAGATAATGTCTGGTTGAAAACTCACTTAAGTCTCAAATAATAAGTGAAAACTTGCAAAGTTACACCCTGCATCTGTGAAGTTGTTGCTCCAGTTGAACTAGTTAGTGGAAATGGTTATCACTGTGTCCTGTGATGTACTGTAGCAAAATTCAAAAGTTTAATGATGCTTTCTTGCATTCAAAGGCTCTTGCAGATATGCTGAGAGTAAACACAAAATTAAAAAGTTTAAACATAGAATCAAACTTCATCACTGGAGTTGGAATTTTGGCACTGGTCGATGCACTGAAAGATAATGAAACATTGACAGAGATCAAAATTGATAATCAGGTAAGTGTGGTGGTGGTAGTATCATAATTAAAATCAGTCTTTCCTAGTTGACTGAATAATTTTAGAAGGTAGCTTTTGATAAACGTTCCAAAATATTTTAAGTATCTTAACCCCATGAATGATTGTCCTTAAGATTCTCAGATGCATCTAGTTGAAGTTGATTCCTGGTCACTTCTGTGCTTGCTTGTGCTTTAAAGTGCACAAATGTGTTTTATGACCTTTTGCCTTTTAGGTTAATCAAAATGAAGTTAAGTGTTTATTAACTAATATGATGAAAGTATTCTGATCTCTTTTATGATGAATACACATAAGCACTCGTCTTTGTGTATGTTTTATTTTAACAGAGGCAGCAGCTTGGCACGGTTGCAGAAGTAGAAATTGCCAAGATGCTTGAAGAAAATACCATGATCCTCAAATTTGGATACCATTTCACACAACAGGGACCTCGAGCAAGGGCAGCCGCAGCTATCACAAAAAATAATGATTTGGGTAATGACTATTAAATGACTGTGTGTGTCAGATTGTAAAGGATTTTTTTTCTGCTTTTCTGTTGACATAATCAGGATAGCAAAATATGAGTAGATCAGTTTTAGATTTCTTCTTTACTCCCACTCTTTTGTTGCCTCTTGATGTTCTCCTTTTATTTTGTTGCAGGGTGTTCAGGTGTATGAGCTGCGGATTTTTATCGTGATCTAGAACAACAACATGCAAATTCTGCATGAGTTGTGGAAAAGGGAGGGAAAATAATAGTTTTAATTGATCGGTGTTATTCCGATAAGCTTAATCGTTTCTTTAAAAGCAGTACTTGAAATTAATAGTGCAGGATGCTGTCTTCACTTCCAGTACACCCAGTCTCATTTGGATTGCTTGAGCAAGGAAACTGAACATACTGTCTTGTGCAGAGGCTGTGACTGGGTCACCTCTTCCCTTATGGTTCTGCTCATGCACAGGTACCCTCCCTGCCTCTCTTCAAGGTATCTGGTAGCATCTTTATTTGCTGCAGTAAGTTTTGTTGGAATCCTAACTAAATGTACCAGCAGAAAGTTGGTTAATAATATAGCGTGTGAATGGAAGTTGTTTGTATAATAATGTCAAATACTTGAAGCTCTCAACTACAAGAAGATAATGTGGTCCATCTAATTAAATAGAATTACATTTTAAATCTCCATTTAATTAAACTTTTTGGCTTTAGATGCTTTGTGGTAAGGATTACAGATCTCAATAGTGTGAAAACAGGCCAGATAATTTAGTAGCAGTAGTAGTTCAAGAATACATTAGAGGGAATGACGTAGGAAGTTGGAATTTGGTTTAAAGATCTGCTTCCCCTCTCAGTAAAGTTTAAAGTGGAGAACAGCTCTGAAGGAGATGGAGGATGAGTAACTGAATAGAGCATAGAGAGAGAAGAAAGGCGCTCAGACACTGCATAACTGTTTCTCAGAATAGATACTAAACCAGCTATTATTGTTGTAATGCTTCAGGGGTGTCTCTTTTTTTTTTTTTTTTTTTTTTAAGGTTTCTCTTTTCAGTAGTTCTCATTTTAGTGTTTGACTGTTGAAAATCTATGTTTCTATTGATATCCTGCCTTTTTTTTCTTTGCTTTCTTAGTCTGGAGTATGCGAGTAAAAGTTTCTGCAAATACCTTTTCACCTCTCCAGCCTTGAAGCTACAGAGACAGGTTACTCTGAATACCCAGTTGGGTATTGAGCACTGGAAACTGAGATGTTCAAAGTCTCTTATTTCTGTCTTTGTATGTTGCTTCTAAATAATAGTCTACATATTCTTTCTGCCTTGCTTACACTGTGTAGTACTGCCTTCCCTTTTCTTTGTCTGGAACTGTGTACATGTTGCTTTTAACTGCATGATTGGAGAAGTCTAAGGTTGGAAAGTCTTCCATCTGTTGCAATTTGATGGAAGCAGTTATGCATAACTTCTGTCACTGGTGAAAATTATTTTTATTTGAATGGAAATAAGTCTGTGTGTTACTCTCAAAGTGAGCAATTCATCAGCTTTGTAAAGAGTAGAATTCTGGTGTAATTTTATTCTGACTGTCTCTTTAGACAGTATCTAAAGCATTTATTAAGACAAGAAGAGTGAGAGGAAACAAAACAGCTTTCCATTTGTTACTTTGATCTGAAGGTAAAGATCAACTCAAATTGCAAATATTTGTAAAACTACATAACTTCCACTGAGTGTATTTGAGAACAGAATCACTTGCTTACACAGATATGCTTGCTTGTCTTTTTTTAAACAAAATGGAGATGCCCTATATAATTTCTAAGACCCTTAGCTTCATTTGTTATGTCTGTGCCGAAAAGGAAATCACAATTCAATAGGGGAAGAAGAAAATATCAATTAAATACTATAAATATTGAGAAGAACTCCAGTCAATCTTGCATATTTTAAGACTAAACATAATGTGAGCTTTTAGTGATTTTGATTCCCGAAATTTTGTTGTTGCATTTTCTGCCAATTGGATATTTTTCATTAATAAATAGAATGGTTTAGGCTATTTAATGTAACATCTATTTTTTTAAGTTTTTTTTTCTTGTAAAGCGTACACATTATATTAGATATACTATGAAACTCTTGCACTGTTTCCTTTGAAGACATGTAAACTGAATTCTCTGCCACTAGAAAATTGCAACATAAAAAAAGAGTACTGGCTAAATCTGCTTACCGAACATAAAATGGTTCATGTTTCCCACAAGTCTCCTCACAAATACTTGAAGCTGTTCATGAATAATGCAATAAGCTTAAAATGATGGATAATACTAAGTGTTAGTTACCTTTAGATGTACTATGAAACTTTATGTGGCAAAGTAACTGTTAATGTTGTAGAAATACAAAAAGTAGTTACAATGATAAAATACTAATGTTTTTTTTTTTCCTCTCCTGTTACAGTTCGCAAGAGAAGAGTTGAAGGAGACAATTAGCTGATCTTGTCAAAACTGTGTGGAGATTTCAAGGGTTGTCAAGGCACACCCATCACCGTGGGCTTTGGCAATCTTGGACTGCATTTACCTGGGTTAGAAGGGAAAAGACTGGAAACCCCATTCCTTTTAAAGCAAAGCTATATCAATAATCTGCTGGTATGCATCACGTTTTTCAGATTGAGACACAGTAACTGCACCAGACTCTGTACCATAGTTTTTGATTGGGTTTTTTTGTGTTTGTTTTTTAAGAACTTTTTTGTATTTCAAGACTTCAGCTGTGCTTTCTACTAAAAATATAATTACAAATTAAAGGTATAATTGAACTCAATGAATGGGACATTCAAGATCATTGGGCAGATAATGACCCAAATGAAATGTTTGTTAGAAAATTGGGGGTGTGCTTATTTACATGGAGGGGGTGTGTATATTCTTGAAAACAATGCATTAGTGATAAGGGATTCTTCACACAACAGTTGGACTCATTGTGTAGAGCTGTTCAGCCTTGTTCATATGCACTGAAGAGAAATCATTCACAGCTATCTTATTTGTAATTCTACTTCTAAAATTTTTTTATTAGTTCTTGATACTGTGATTAAGTTTAAAGACATCCCTTTAAACCAAACAGAAATGAATTGGCTAAGGACATTTCCCAAAAAATTTGAGGAACTAAGAAAAAAGTGGAAGCTTTGCAAAAAAAAAAAAAAAAAAAAAAAAAAAAAAACCAAAAAACCACCAAAACCTTGCAAAATGACAGTTTTACTATTTCACCTAAATACTTAAAGTCTTTTTCAAAAGGTCACAAAACTGTATCTTGCTCTGTATCTAAACTGGATATGTTTTTAGGCTGATTTCATGTGTTCATCAGCGTTATTTAGTTCATATTGTTTGTTAAAATCCGTATCTACATTCATAAGTATCATATTTCACTAAAGTAGTGGACACACGTTTTTTAAATTCTGCATAATTCTGTACAGGAGAAGCAGCCTTAACTGTCAAACCACTATCCTAAGTTGCTGGCAAATGGAAAAATCCTTTTTTTCAAGCTGTTGCATTAAGCTAGTAGTATTTCATATAAATCTCTCATTTTTTAATAAAGCAATGAAGGAACACTTTTAAAAAAGGATTTTTCTTTTCTACTTATGTCTTGATGTTGAAACACTACATAAGACATGCAGAAATTAACCAACATGTAGTGTCAAATCTGTATGGTGTAGTAATTATTAAAATATTTAAAGTTCTCTATCTAAGCAAACTAATGGGCCAGCAAGAATCACTTTAACTTTTGTACATAATCACAGTAGACTTCTTTGAAATAATATGAGAATCTAGAGGCTTTTTGGTGTAGATCTGTTTGGACTGTACTGTACTAGTTTGCTCAGTGTTGTCATGAGATCATAAGCTCACAAAAATGTTCTAAAGGACTGCTTGGCTATATTTATAGCAACAGAGAATTCAACTGACAACTGTTTTCATTAAAGGATCATAATATGGTGAGCATTTTATATATAGAAAATGTATTGTACTGAGTTTTTTGCATCAGATTGTATATACTATAAAAATTTAACAGAGCAACTCTGACACTGTGCCCATGTTGTAATTTGCTGCAAATCTTGTTTTAGATCTTTAAAGACGGACTTTATTCCAGATGTGACTTTGAAGTTTACTGCAACTGTACAGAGAATTTTAAACTATAGTGCCTTCAATGAGGATGTATATAGCTGGTTTATGCTTGTGCAAGAACATTTTTTTTTCCTATTTCAAAATCAGCCTTTTATTATAATTACAAATAAATGTGTGCTCTGAAAAGCAAGTTGGAATGAATTGTGTTAAAACCAAAGACTATACATACTGTAACTCTGGAACAACAAGAGGTGAGCTGACTAGAAACAAAAAGGGCTTCTTTTGGATTTGGCTTTTGTAAATTTTCAGTAACTTTTTAGATTTTGACATTTAAATTCTTACATAGTATGCATAAAGTCACAAATTAAGTGTCTTTTTACAGACAGTGCTGTATAAACATGGCCAAAGCATGTCATGTGCTGAGTTGCCTAAAGCTGTACTTCACTTTTTATTTGCTAGGCACTGTAATCATTTTGTGTCAAAAAACAGGCTGTAATGTTTTCCTTCATTTGTTGAAGGGCTGCATGTTCATGGAATCTGTTCACATATTGTGATTCTGTGATGATTTATTTTATCATTATCTGACAAGAATAGGCAGTTATCTCCTATTTGAAGATGCAGGAGAAAAATTACAAGTTGGATTATGGAAATGATAGCCATCCTCTCCTTTATTAAATCAAGTTTAGCTGCTTAATGATTTATATTCCAATCAAAGGCAAGGGTTTTGAAGCTGCACCTCTGAGGTGTCGTGTCACAAACGATAGTAGTGGACCTTAACTTGTTTAGCTCTGTAGACTGCAGCTAATTATTTGACTGCTTATTGGCATTTTCAGGACAGGTATCTGACAGGCTGGACATAGAAAACTAGTTGGTTTTTTTTTTTTTTTTTTCAACCAGAAGAGTTTGGCCCTCCAAACTGTTAAGACATTTGCCATGGTGCACGGAACAGTTACAACAATCACTTTTGTGCCTACACTGTATATCATTTTTTTTGAATAAATGAAGGAATTCAGTCTGTAGCCAGGAATTGTGAACAGTCTCAACAAGCACAGTGAACACTGATGTAATGCTATCAAGTGTAGTGAGATCTTGTGTGTGACTTTGGTAATTTTGAGTGCAAAAGTGGCATTACTCTCCTAACCAGCTACCGTAAACACAAGGTCTCTTTTCCAAAAGAGGTGATACTTTTCTTGATTATTTCTCAGGCTTACTGTAGAAGTCAAATGACCACATATGTTGATTCTGTTGGTTCCATGGAAACATAGCCTATGTTCCAAAGCAATTACCCATTTACTGTTGTATTTTAAAGAAATAGCCTCATTTGCTATACAGCTTGAGTAATACTGTAAGCTACAAACAAGCAAGTGTTCAATTTAAATTTCCATTGAGGAAACATGAACGGAGTGTTTTTGCATATCAGCACTGTATGGTGTCAGATTGTAAACCAGTAAAAGTTTTGGATGATTAAAGTACTGTATTCTTGTGGTTTTGGGGTTTTGTTTGCTTGGGTTTTGAAACAGCGCACTGACTTGCTTAAAGTTAACCCATCTGTATATGTCAACCATTACCTTTTCCTTCTCTAGTAGGAAAGTGAGTGACCAAATGGCACTTCTGGAGGCAAAGGGCTACTATGCTGGAACTAGATTTTCACACAGCAGTCGGCAGAAAGATGTGCAAGAGCCCATAAAAGGAGGGACAGCATACTGTCACGCATGTTCAATCTATACAAGCAAGAGAAGAAGCACTGTGGTGGGATGGTAGGCTGCTTTGTGAGGCATTACTTCTGCCACATTTGGCAATGGGAAGGTGCAGACAAGTTACAGTCCCTTTCTTAGCCACAGGGCCTCACAATCTCCCACTCCTCTCATCTGAGTGCGGTGCCTCACCTCCAGAAACACGGGGGAGTTAAGCTCATCTCCCCTTCGGAGTCCGTGTCAAAGAGCCGGGGGCAGCAGCGGCGTGGGCTGCAGGCGGGGAGCTGACAGGGGCCTCCAGCTTGAGCCGAGAGAGGAGAGCGGGGTGCCTCGCCCTCGGCGGGCGCTAGTACTACCGATATAATGCGAGAGTCATTTGTGAAGTAACGCGGTATGGGCTGAAGCAGCTGCCGGGGGAAGTGCCTCCAGCGACCATCACCGTTTCGTTTTGCGGCTGGTGACGGGCCCGGTACGTCGGCTGTCAGCAAATCCGCCATCACCGCTTTCTCACGATGCCACTTTCCGCCTTAATGAACCGGTCCCGGTCCCTCGGAGGGGGGGTGGGATGGCGGTGTCGCCGTCACCGCCCGGCCGGCTGTCCCCGACACGCGTTTATCACCGAACGCCGCGGAGCCCGCCGGTACCGGCCGTGGGGCGCGGCCCCTTTAAGAGGAGGTGCTTCCTGCCCCTCCCGCCCGGTCGCTGGCGGGGCCGTGCGGCGCTCCGTAGTTGCGTCACTGAGCGGCGCGGGCGGCGTGGCCGTGGGCGCGCGGCGGCGGCGGGGCCGCGCTCTCGCCATGGCGGACATGGAGGATCTCTTCGGCAGCGACGCCGACTCGGAGGCCGAGCAGAAAGGTGCGGGGCGCCGCGGCCCTCCCCCCTCAGCCCTCAGCCGCGGGCGGGAGGCGGCCTGCGGGCTGGCGCCCTGCTCCTGGCGGCGTCGCTCGGGCAGCGGGCGGTGCCCCGGGCCCCCTTTGCGCACCTGCTGTTTGGGCTAAAAAGCAAAGAAAACCGCGTTCCTGTAGCGGCCTGCCGCCGGAAGGCGGCTCGGGGCGGGAGGGCGGGCGGGTACGATCCGCACAGACCCGGGCTTGCCGCCGGCGCTCCGTCAAACAGTGGTTTGTAGTGACTGTTCCAGCACCGCAGCCACGGAGAGTCACAAATGATGGGAAACAAAAGGGGTTTTGATTCTGGTAACCCTTAACCTTGTGCTTGCTTAGAACTGTTTGAGATGGTGAAAACGAGTCCTGTTTGCCCTTTATTACCTGGAAAAGTTTTAACTGTCATCGGGATCTAAAGAAAAATGATTGAATACCACCTGATTTAAGTCATTTGTGTATTTTTAAAACGCTTAGATCAATTTCTGTAAATCATTTTTCAAGGCAGATTTTTTTTTTTTTCCTGCTTGAAATGACATCCACCAAGCACTGAGCAGCTCTATTGTAACAAACACGGCAGGGTACATAAGACTGCTAACTTGGATTGAAGACATGATGATGGGTTTAGATTTGTAGGATCTCATAAGCCATGTATATGTGTTTACTTATCTTAAGCCTTCCGTATTTCAAATTTTATATTTTTTCTACATCTTTAGAATCTTAGATAGTAGCTTGTGGTTTGAAACGTGTCATCCATCGTTTTTCATTGTGTCTATCATTGGCTGTGCCTTTATTAGTAGACATTTTATTTCACTGTTCTTGGTAGCTTTTATAGTTCTTAACAGTTTTTTGTAAGTTCTCTCTCTGGGTTTTGGGTGGATTTTTTATTTTTTTTTTTTTTTAAACCAATGCCCATCATTATGTGTATCCTTGTAGGGACATTTTAACTCTTGAAAGGGTGATGTTTGTTTTGCAGATTCCGATTCTGGATCCGAATCTGATTCTGATCAAGAGAATGCTGGCTCTGGTAGTAACGCTTCTGGAAGCGACAGTGACCAGGATGATGACAGAGAGGCAATAAAACCTAGCAATAAGGAGTTATTTGGAGACGATAGTGAGGATGAAGGGGCATCCCATCACACGGGGAGTGACAACCACTCTGAAAGATCCTACAATCGCTCTGAAGCTTCAGGACATTCTGAGCATGAAGATAATGATCAGTCAGATGTGGACCAGCACAGTGTTTCAGAAGCTGCTCATGATGATGAGGAAGATGATCGTGGGCATGGGTCAGATGAAGGTAGTCATCATTCAGAGGGAGATGGTTCTGAAAAAGCACATTCAGAGGATGAGAAGTGGGGTAAGGAGGACAAAAGTGATCAGTCAGACGATGAGGAGAGGCAGCAGAACTCTGATGATGAGGAGAGGCAGCAGAACTCTGACGATGAGGAGAAAGTGCAGAACTCTGATGAAGATGAAAGGCCGCAGATATCAGATGATGAGGAGAGACTCCAGAACTCAGATGAGGAAAAAATGCAGAACTCTGATGATGAGGAGAGGCCTCAGGCCTCAGATGAGGAGAAGATGCAGAACTCGGATGATGATGAACGGGCCCAGCATTCCGACGAGGAGAAGGTGCAGAACTCTGATGATGACGAAAGGGCCCAGCACTCCGATGAGGAGGACCAAGAGCATAAATCTGGTAGGACTGAATACAGTAGTAATGATTTGCTTCTGGTTTGATCTCTGTTATTTCATTTATAGTGGCCCGAAAAGATTCGGACCTCAATGTAAAGGCATTAATTGCATAGCTTGCAACGATAGTCATCTTTGTGTAATACTTTTTTATGCAGCATTTTAAAATTCCTTTTAATCTGATTCAATTTATTAATACAAAAGAATTTTTAAACATGCGGAACAAAGTTTTTCATTTGCTGAGAATAATTATGCTCCTTAGTAGAGTCTGCAAGGGGCAGTGATAGTGAAGATGAAGTTCTGAGGATGAAGCGAAAGAAACCAATTGCTTCAGATTCAGAAGTGGACAGTGATACAGAAGGGCAGAAAGGTAAATAAATGGTGGTGTTGTTTTGTGGGGTTTTGGTTCATTTAATCCTCATCTTAAGCATGCCATTCATCTCCTGCAGAACTTGATAAAATTGATAGCGCTTGCTATACAGTTTAACTATAGCACCATAGAAATAACAAAACAGCACAGTAAGAATTCTTTGTGGGGAAGCACACACTGTATTTCTGCTGATTATCTCGAGTTAGCTCTATCAGTTTTTCAGTTTCGTCTGTGAGAGACAGAGCTTTTCTTTTGCGAATGTTGTTTCGCACATTTTTACTGGAAGATGTTAAGAAATGGAGCCTCTAATCAGAGCAGCCCAGAGAACCTGTACTGGTTTTTGTACCTGCAAAGTGCGTAATGAAGTTGCTGTTTACATATGTTCCTGTTGTTTACTGGAGTAAAGGGTGATCTTATACTCTTAATTCTTCTGTTGCCATTTTTCAACTAGATTCTCTTATTTGATAGAGCCTTTTCAGGAAGACATACCTTGAATCCTTAGCTTAAAAGTACACATAAAAACTGTTTTTTCATGATAAGGGAATAATGTATGCTTCACAGACATTCACAATTTTTAACCTTTGTAGGTGATTTTAAGTGGTAAAAGAAGTGAAGTGTGTGTCAATCCTTTTTTCCTGTGAGTGTGCTTGCATGCAGGAGTATGTGTGTGCCTATATGTGTATTTTTAAACAGTAATTTTTCTGCTCAAGAGCATGCAGATGTCATGGATCTATTTGGAGGTGCAGATGACATTTCCTCAGGGAGTGATGGAGAAGACAAGCCACCAACTCCAGGACAGCCCATTGTGAGTAGACTTGACTTCTGAAATAATTAACATGCCATTCCACTCTGAAATGTAGAACACTGATTAAGTTTGATAATACTTTAGTGAAAAAAAAGTAATGGCATTAAGTAAGCATTAGAGATAATTCTGCCCTAGTTGAAAGCATTATTAAGGTTTTATACATAGCAATATCAGATGGATTAATTTATCTGCCTTCCCCCATCCCTGCTCTACTTTTTGTACTTGAAAGAAATATAATGAATAGTTTTGATTGTAATCAAGTAAAATACAAAGTCATGGCTATTTTTGGTACCTCAGTACAGCTATTTGACAAATATTTTCATATTGAGTCTTGATGATAATACCTAAAAATACGGTTTTTATCTGGGAAAAGTTGTCACCCCTGTACTCTCCAGTGCTTAGCTGAAAACTGTGTGTCGGCTCCTTTGCTGTTTCCTTACTGTCTTCGGTGTCTTGAATTTCCACTGGTATCTGAAATCACTTTAAGTGTCATATGAAAATGCTGAATTGAATTGCTGCTACTGAATATGTGCAAGGTCTACCCTAAGCTTCCTGATCTCTCTCTGTCCATATGGATGACATCTCTTTAACCGAAATGTAAGTGCTTGTTAGAGCAACGGTAGCCAGACAGACTTTTGCTCCTGTTCTCCTTTTTATCACTAGGATGAGAATGGACTGAGTCAAGAACAGCAGGAAGAAGAGCCTATTCCAGAGACTAGAATAGAGGTAGAAATACCGAAAGTAAACACGGACCTGGGTAACGATTTGTATTTTGTAAAGCTGCCCAACTTCCTTAGCGTGGAGCCCAGGTAATTCCACATTAAATACGTGATTGATGAGGTTTTTTAGTATTTCCCTATATTGCTTTTGTTTTAGTAATACAATTAAATGTTGGCTATATTTAAAATGGTTGACATTAAGATGCACACTTTTGGTTATGATTGCTCAATAGTAATAACTATTCTTGTTATCTAATCAAGTGCTGAGTAATTTTCTTGTAAGCAGCTTGGGTTTCAGCTTGATTGAATAACTTGTTGTCTTTAA